CATGAGTAAGATTAAAAATTTCCAATACACGTTAAAAATACCAAAGCACATTAAAAATTTCATCAAAATTCATTTACAAGTGTGCAAAATGTGAAAAACAAAAAAAACAAAAAAATCTGCAAACGCTTGTAATCGCATCATGGTCATTTGATTTTTTCAAAACCCTACAAGCCCTCATGAATAGTGTTTTAAGTGAGTTCAAAATAAATAAAAATTCATAATAATTAATGTAGAAGTTGAAAAACTGTGAAAAAAATATATAAACACTTGTGCTTGCATCATCTACACTTTGACAATGGTTGCATCATCATTTAGATTATTAAAACCCTCATGAAATAATTTTTTTTTTTGTTTGAGTGCAAAAATAGTAATGACAAGCTTTACAATTTTCGTGAAGGAGTTAACTGTAATACCCCGTATTTAAAAAAAAATTGGTTATATATGTGTGTGTGTGTGTGTGTGTGTGTGGGTAATTATTTTTACGTAATGATTTTATTAGATTTATTTTATGCAAGAACCTACTGTCGATATGTGAAATAGTTTCAATGTAAAATCCTTTTTGCTACAAATTATTTCAAAAACTAGCTTTCATGTTCATATGTAATTAGAGATTTTTTAGTTTGAATTGGAGAAGGGAAATTAAATGAGTTTGGTTTGATTTTCCTCACAAAGGGCCAAGAGTTTGAGGTTGGAATAAGTGAGTCATTTTGTCTTGATATTTTCTCTCAAAGATGAGGTGGAGAGCTTCTAACATTAAGTGTTAATGTTTTGGTGATTACTCACCATTCTAAATGTGAAGGTGGAAGTCTACTTAAGGGTGAGTTGGCAAGTTTGTATTCATTAGGAATCTAAGAGTTAAATGTTTGGTAATGATTCATCCCTCCAAAATTGGAGAGGTGGGATTCATATCCCTTAGACTTTGGACGTGGCTTTTGAGTGTTTGTTCACCTTGCATGATATTAATTAGCTTCACATTTGTTGTTTTTTCCATTGGACCACATTTCATTGCTAAGGATTAGGACAACATTTGTTGCCTTGTGATTAGAACACATTTCATGGTGATGATTAGGTTAACAATTGGTGTGTTTCTATTAGAACACATTTTAAGTTTAATGATTGGCACAACACTTGCTTTCTTTCTATTGGCACACATGTGAAGATTCTTTGGAGAGGAAGATGTCATGCAATCTCTATAAAGGAATGAGCACTCACCAAACGGATGACATGGAGAAAAAAGAGAGAGGAAGGAGAAGAAGAAAAAAGAAAAAGAAAGAACCACTTCAACAAGAAAACAATTCTCCCCTTCCTATTACCTTCTTATATTTATTTAAAACGTTCTTAGGGCTTTAAGCCATCTTTCATTGTATTTGTAAGTCCCTCATATGTATAGTGAAATACAATGAAATCAAACCCCAGTGGATTTAGTCGATTTGGCGAACCACTTAAATCTTGTGTTGTTTATGCATTTACATTTGGAGATCATTGCCATGAGAAGCACTTCCACCAAACTATCGCCAATCTCTATTTATCTCCCTTGAGGATGATGTACAAAAAGTGTGAGACAAATCCCAGAGAAATACATGAGACCTTACCCAACAAATCTCCACCAAACTCCATCTATCAAAAGAAAGATATCCAAAAACTAGAAATTCGTCCGGCCTATGTAGTAGACCAAAACACCATCATCCATAGATTATATCATAGTACTTCCTTCATGAGAGTTGTTCGTCTGTCTCTCTACCATGATATCCAAATTTTAGAAAAATCCAACGGTGCGATCGTCCAATATGTTTGAAATACCAACTCATGTCTCTAATCCCGCAGAAAATTGGACAGCCATGTTATGAGCACTAAAATTCCATTTTGAAGAGCTCCGATCAAAATACTTCCTTCACAAAAGCTGTTCCTTATCATCTCATCTATAACATATCTAAAAACCACGATAATCCAATCTATGTGCTGACTTGTATCCCAGTTTGAACAGCTGATGTTCAGTTGAGCTAGCCTTCTTTGCCAACCTTTTTGCATGGCCAACATCTCTAGTTTCTTTTGCTCACTTTCATGAAAGTTTTTCAGCAATCTAACTCCTAATACATATGTAGAGTTTCAACTATATTAAAGAAGAGGAAGGGGAAGTGGTGAAGGAAGAAAGAGAGCAAGAGAGAGGAAATGAAATTGAAACAATAAAAAAATGAGGAAATGGTAACATATTGCTTATCATTTACATTAAAGATTAATTTGTTAATATTATGATTATACTACTCTTGTCACTAATCAATTTGATTTATATTGAAGCTTATAGGCTTGTTAAAGAAAATGTGAGTATTGATATCTATGTGAACATGACATATACATATGCATTCCAAAGCAAGAAAAAGAGTTGTGTTGAGTTTGTAAAGTGTTTGCGTTGTGAGGATATTCAAGGGCTGAAGCTTTCCTTGAATATAAAATAATGAACCTTGTCTATGTCAGGCATAGGGTGCAGGGCTTAAGTATACAAATTGGTTGATTATAAAAATAATGAAATCTTGTATATGTCAGGCGTAGGGTGCAAGGCTTGAATATACAATTGGGCGTCGAAGGAAGTGCCCGTATAATAAAGTGGAAACTGAGAGTTTAATTACAAAAACTGGGTGTAAGGGACGAATGGGAGTTAACTCATATTCTAACGTACTCAGAGCCAAATGGTATAAGCATGGTAAGGGACATGCAGGCTTGGGTGCCTTAGGTATGTGTTGACGGGATTACAAGGGAGTGAGTACATTCATGCATCTCATTGCATACCTTTTATGTTTTTGCAAGAGCTACTCATTTCAATTATTATTTTAGTTGGTACTTTTGTATATTAATATTTTATTTCCGCTACGTATGTCATAAATTTTATGTAAGATTTTGTTATCTAATGTATGTAAAATCGTTATAATTTCATTTTAGTTTCCACCATACCTTGGTTGTAGAATTTATTTCTATAACTAAGATATGGCTCACACCCTAACTCGTGAATAGTCTTTATTCGCGGGTTGGGGCGTGACATTAACTCCGAAATCCAACACCATAATCCATAAACCCTAGATTTATATTTTAACTGTTGATTGTGATTTATGCTCTATTCTTTTCACCCTATTTCATTTTTCAATTTTTCTTTTTTGAAAACATGATTTAGCGGATGCAAAAAAATGAACTGTTTGGATTGTTATTATTACATAAACACAGAAAATACGACACAAATGACGGATCTACAATTAATCATCGTGATGACATGTCAACTTTACTAAGTACGTACACGTGTGAAAAAATCTAGGGGTGGGCGCGGGTTGGTCAAAATTGCAAACCAAAACCGACCAAGCTAGGACTAAAACCGATCAAATAACCAAATGTGGCGGGTTGGTTTGAATTGGTTCTCGGTTTCTATGAAGACAAAAATACATAATAAACTTCTCTTCCAAAAGCTACATAACATAGCACCTCAGTGATTACTTAAGGGAAAACACAAATTAAGCAACCCAATAATAGCACCAAGGCAACAACTAAGCTTTTCCAGCGATTGATACCATGTAAAGCAACAAAGATTGTTGCAATAATGTATAACTATGAGAGATTTTAGAGAGAGAAAGTAGTAGACTTGAGGAAGAAGAAAGAATCTTGTATTAAGATAATGATCTTACAGAGAGTACATTTAGCTATATATTGTAATGCCTTATAGACTAAGCTCTCCAAATGGTGTCCATGTTCTTCTCGAAAGGGACTCTTAAACTAATCAGGTTTTGTTTTCATGTGGTGGAAACATGGTAACTCGTAAATAACTAACCATTTATATTATCACACGTATTAATTATGATTAAAAAATAAAATTAATATATGCGGGTCGGTTTGGTTAACTGCAGCCTAAGAATTTTGAGAACCAATTGCCAAACCGATTAAGGTCGGTGCGGTTTGGTTTAACCACCGAAAATTAAAAAAAAAAACAAACCAAACCGTCAATGCTGTTTGGGCGGTCAATCGATTGTTTTACTATTTTTTATTAAATGCCCAGCCCTAGAAAAATCTAAGTGAAAGGAACAATGAAACAAGAAATTTTTACGGGTGGCGGGAACACACACCTCAGCAGTGCAGGTGGTGTTTCCTTCCAATCCAATAACGCCATCTACCCCACTAAAGGTAAATTGTTTTATCTTTTATAGAATAATCAATAAGTGAATTTTTTATTTTTTAAAAAAATAACTCAAGGCCCTTCCCCAACCTTCTAATCATTCCCCTCCAATTCCTCTCAGCCCCCGACATCCACCATCACCGCCCGGTGTTTTGGCCCACCGTATCGTCGTCCCCTTATCATCCCACCTTTCTCCTGATGATCAAGAACCGGCGTCTTCAAATCATGATGAAGAAGCAACATGATAGAAGAAGATGATGGTGTCAAATTGAGATTTTAGTTGTGTGATGGAGGCTGGAGCTTTCATGGGTGTTCATGGTGGTGGGCGTGACGTGGTTGTCAAGTGGAGGGCAGAAATTTTGGTTCAGGTGCTGGTGACCCTTTAGTCGGAAAGAGATGGAAGAGAGGAAGGCACCGGTACTATGTTAATTAAATATTAAGTTTTTTAATGGGAACTTTAACGAAAAGCACCCGGTACTGTTCACTTTAACGAAAAACCACATTTTTACATTAAAAAGTCAATCCTGGTACTATTCACTTTACCCTTTATTTTGTCCTTATCATTAAAACTCAAAGTTTTCAAGCCCTTTTCATTAGTTTTCCTTTTTTTAATTGCTTTAAAGGTGGGCTAGACTATTGGTGTAAATTTCATCTTAAATTCACAAATATCAAGACCTGATTGGTGAAACTCCAAGTCAGCAAGAGTTCCCGTCACCCGTAAAAATTTCTCCAATGGAACATAACCGAAACGCGTTTTCTGGCTACCAGTCTTCCAACTACCAGTCTTATATGCCTGTCTAGAAACTTCTTTGTAGCGAATTAACAAACCGACTGTATATCTTTATAAAACTGTCCATTTCTCTCTAGTCAATTATCTTCGCTTGATTTTACCAAAAAAAAAAAAAAATTATCTTCGCTTGCAACCAAAATTTCAAGAGAAAATGGCATTCCGTAGGGATCCGCCAGGACCACCACCACCCGACCCATTTGCACCACCACCTCCCCCTCCTCCTCCTCCTCATCATGGGCATCCACCAGGTCCACCACCTCCACCGCCGCCTCGGGAATTCTTTCCTCCACCTCCACCTCCCCATCTGGAATTCCATCCTCCACCCCCACCACCAATCCACCACCACCCACCTGGTCCTCCACCCCCACCGTATTACCCACCAGGCCCTCCGCCACCTGGTCCTCCTCCACCGCCTTACTCAGACCCCTACAGACCGCCGCCACCACCTTGGGGTCGTCCTCCTCCACCTTTCTAAGTAATTAACATACAGCAGCTTTCACTGATATATCTTATTTGTATATGGTCTACGCACGTCGGGACGTTGTATGCACGAGGAGCGTCTGATCAAGGCTGCTGCTTTAGGAGAAAAAGAAATAAAAAATCATGTGTATAGACGTTGTAAACCTTATTCATATTTTTAGACCCTATTTTTTTCATCATGGGTGTGTACTTTCACGATTCAAATAATGTAATAATATAATTGCAAGGTAGATAATATATAGTTTGGTTTGGTACTTCGTGTGTATTTTATCCCGATATATACCTTTCGATGAAGAAGAATACAGTATCATGAATCTGCAGGCCGCAAATCTGAAAACTGCAGAGCTCTCTGTGTGATTGTATTACGCCGGAAAACATAGTTGGAACAAATATTGGATCAAGCAAATATTCATATCTGCCAAAGCTTTTATGTTACCATTACACATGCCAAAGGCTTTTTTTATTATTATATGCTGCCACCCACATCCTCTAGCAGCCCCTGCTCATGTGGATTACCAGCTCCTAATTCATTCGAAATTCGATGGCTACGTCGCGCCAAATGCATATGATAAAAAATAAAAAAATAAATCAGTTGTTAAATCTTGTTGGCACAAAGATGGAATATTGATCTTGCTGCAGTACCAACACCATATGGTATAAAGTAGTGCAATGAAGTTGTTTTGAGGCTGCTCAAAAGGTAATTGATGGACACGAAGACAGCGAGAAGAGGGGATGGGTATTGGTTTATGGACATGAAAATACATGTTTATCCCTTCATTTTAATGGAAATTTCACGTTTGGACTAAAGTGCTAACGATCTTTCATCACAAGGATGTAAAGCCTCATTTTTTTTTTTTTTTACCACGAGAGCCATCTTCCAACTATCCTATAACGATGATGACCATTTGTCCAATTAAGCCTAAGATTTATGTAGTTATAGAAAGCATTAATGTCCTTATTTTCAACAACTTTCGCATCACAAAATAAATATGTTAAACATGTCTGTGAAAATGGCAAACACGCTAAATTCAGTGGCCAAAAAGAATAAAAAATTATTCACATTCCGTTCAGCATCCAGATCTATTTTAACCTATACAAGCAGCTTTGGCCACAGCAAATTGGAACATGATCAAAGACTCTCTTCACCAGCAAGCCATATATAAGGATCAATTTACATTTATAACAGCCGGTTTTTTCGTGACGATCGGATTCCAGAAGGGCGGCAGATGACTAAAGTTCTTCAGGTCTCTTGAACTCCTATACGTTTATCTAGATGACCAAATTTTTATTACAATCAACCGATCGACTTGGCGCCAATTGTTTGTGTTATGTTAACCTGTTTTTTCTCGCTTGCTAGCTACTACTTTGTACTTAAACATGTACAATTCCTTCTGATGATGAATTTTGAATTTTGAGCAGAAAAGATGTAATGACTGCAAATTGTAACGGACAAAAGGCTCCTTGCTCTCATTTCCAAAGTTCTTTTTCTTTTATCTCATTCAATTTGCTTCGCTGTCTTCTGATAATCGCTCCGCGAATACCCTCTCCCTTGCCCTCTTTGCCTGCAATACATACATATAAAGGATGTTCAGAGACTATTTTTTGGTGTATCAAATTGGAAAATTCTATCTTCAAACAATATATAGTATACATCAGCTCTTTTAATTATTTGATCGACGTGACGAGTTCAGTTTTTCTTATTTTAGATATAAAATGATAATCCCCGTTGAAACAATATATTATTGTACTATAGAATACTGAACCTTTTTAAACATATTATCTTCAAATTAACAAATTACGCAGAGAAATATTCAAAGAGAAATTAATTGTGAGTTCAAACCTGTTTTGTCCAATTGGTGAAGCTAGTGATAAGAGCAAGAAGAGCAGATTGTACAGCAGACCCGGCCACTATTCCAATCCAAAGGCCCTTCCCCCTTAAGCCTAGAGCAAATCCCAGTGCACAACCCACAGGAAGTCCAACCAGATAAAACGCCCCAAGATTCACATATGCCCCTATATGTTGCCATCCACTTCCTCTAGCAACACCTGATGCATACAGGAAAATAGCTCTTATATGTTTGTCTCCCAAGTTAGGGTATGTACGGAATTGACAAAACCGCTTTCAAGTAACCAAAAATGCGTTTGGAAGCGTTTGACATAAATATAACTAGCAGTGTTACGAGTCGTAAAGACACTATTTAGTGCTTCTGCAATAAAGTAATTTTTCAAAAGCAGTTATGATTTCTAGTAAATTTAGTTGTGCTTCTAATAAAAAAAAGCTTCAAACATAAGTTCTTTATGTTTGAGAGAGATGTTGTGGGAAGCACTTTTACACCTAAGGCCATTTGTTGGAAGCACTTTTGAAAAAGCAATCGAGTGGTAAGTACTTCTCCAATGTTAAAAAAGTAAGTACTTCTTCAAAAAGCACTGAAAAAACCGTTTTTGGCTGTCAAAACGTGATTTTAGTGATTCTAAAAGGCTTACCAAACAGGCGTGTAACATACAAATGTAATCCATATGGCATTAATTGCACCCAATAAACAAGCACATATGTGAGAAAAAGATGATGAAATGAACCTGAAAGAACAGCTTGTACGCTATCCATGAATACTGAGATACAAATCAGAGGTGCCATGACCACAACATAATCCACGACTGGCTTCTCACTGCTAAAAACATGCCCCAGAACGTAGCGGCAGCAGAAGAGAGTTGTGCTCACAATAACTGCCTCAGTGACTGATAGAAACATTGCAGCCCATACGGCCACTCGAGCTGCTTGTGGATTGCCAGCTCCTAATTCATTCGACACCCGAATACTGTAAAAATAGTTGAAGTTTAGGTTGACTTCAGTTATTACTTCCAGGCCCCTACCACTAAGGCACTTAATATTCAAAAACGGTAAAATGGAGGGGAATGTTGAATAGTAGGTTATTTTTTCAGACTTTTGGAATTTTAACCCCTTGTGGGCAGTTTGAGCACTGCTCGAGTGGTCTTGAGGGGAGTTCGAGTATTGCTCGAGGAGTTCTCCGTATATTTACCTAAAATAGAAAATGCACTAAAAACAATAACATGCTGAGTACCTTGCAGCAGCTCCGAATCCATACGATATAGTGAAGTGCAATGTAGAGATTGTAAGGCTGTATAACCACAAAGAATACACGAGAGTTTGAGCACATCATCCGATGATCATCACCTATATAGAAAGTAATGTGATCAAGCACAGAAATTGAAGTTTACCATATTGAAAGCACCGAAGTCTCCAGCTTTGGATTTGGTAGAAGGCCGGACAGCAAAATAATCAGCTCACATGACCACCATTTAAGACTAAATTTTTGGTCAATGCAATACAAATTAAGAGACATGAGTACACATGAAGTAAATAGGGTCAATACATTTTGCAATCTTTTCATCTAGAACCAAGCACAATTTGCTTCGTTTTTGAAAGTTGACATAAACAATAGTATAAAGTTAAAAACTGTTGCATCATTGATCCGTCAAGTGTTGCATCGAAAAACAACTATTAACTTGACGCTTAGATTAATGGATGTCAATGGTGTCAATTTTTAGGATTGATTTTGTCAATGCTGAAAAGGTAATTATTAAGTTTGTTGCACATCGTAAACATAAGGAGTAAGAAAATTACCAAATCATTACAGCGGAGGGGACGGCTAAGCGAAAGAACAGTCCAATATGGACCAAAGACTCCATAGAAAATGCAAGACGGGTTTCCTCGAAGGATGAAGAAAACATTGCATACAACCACAGCAGTACCACATACAACCAAGTTGACAAACTAAAGGATATGGCTGAACCCTTAACTCCTAGTTCCAGCTTATATATAAAGGCCCAAGAGGTAAGAATATGGAAAAGAAGAATGACAAAGGAGGATAAAAGCATTGGAAAAATTGAACTCTGAGACTGGAAATATCGAGTTAAAGGCTTAAGAATTGCACCGCCAAAAAGTGCAGGAATTAGCCAAACTGAGTATATTTGTGCTTCATGTGATATTTGGGGGTTTTGGCCTACTAAGGGTAATAATTTGTCAAAGAAAATCCAGAGGACACATATTGGAGGACAAACCAAGAGAAGAGAGATCATTGCAGTGCAAGTGTAAGTTCCAAGTTTTTGATATTGTCCTGCTCCAAATGCTTGCCCACATAATGTTTCCAGTCCACCTGCCATTCCTGACTGTGATCAACAAATACATGCAAATGGGTTCATTAGTCTCAAATTGGTATTAAAAATGGGCTTGGTCAATATAATTATACAATACTAGAATTATATCAATCAATTTTTTTTTTCTAATTAGCAAGGTGTTCATGGACTTTGAAATGCATTGCAGTTTCCATTTTAAAGCCAAGAAAAAGGAAAGAAAGATACTTGATGCAAAGAAAAGAAAAAAAAAGAAGTGGTGGATGTTAGATGATGACAAGGAAGGAGACTTACAAGAAGGCTAAAACCAGTGACATTGGTGAGAGAGATGGCAATCGCAACACTGGAGAGTGCAAGCTGATCAAGATGTCCAGCCATTATCATGGACACCAGTTGCAGCAGATACTGCAGCACTGAGACTGCCACCATTGGAGCAGCTATAAAACCTTCCTTCTTCACCTCATTCAGGAATGTACCCCATGTTACGGCCCATGTCTTCTCCTCCTTCATCTCCGCCGTCACTTGATCCATCGTCGCCATCTGCACTCCTCTCGCTTAATTACAAGTACCCTTTTATATGTTCGAGACGAGCTGTTTAATGTGTGAAGTGAGTGTAATTTATAACTATTCATATATACACACATGTGTATGTATGTATTTGAGTTTCAGAAGAGAAGCACGAATGGCCGGACTATATTCCTCAAGTTGTCTATCAGTTTAATTATGCATAGCGTTAAATGTTGGATGCCGTATTTACCGGCCTACAGAAACAAAGTTGGACTCCTGCATTGATTTAGTTAATAATTAATCAGAGAAGAAAACAAATGCAGTGACATTTGTTTTATCTTTTTACTTTGTGACAAGCAGCCCGTCAATAGTAACTCAAATGTAGAATTTTTAATTTCCTTATTTCTTAAATGAATTATATTTGACTCCTCAATAATGAGTAGGAACTCCTTACTCTTTGTAGTTAATTTGTAGAATTTTATGCTTATAATTGAAATCGATTCATAGAACCATAATATTATAAATTACTTTGTAAATATTATATATGTAAAAAGTAAATTAAAAATAAGTTCGTTAATCAATTAACTATAATATTTTGAACCGTTTATCTATTTACTCCAGTTGATTGACCAAATAACCTTGATTTTAATTGATTATATGAGGAAATGAGCTTTATAGAGTAATTTATAATATGATCTATTGCAATCATAAATATGAAATTCTATGAATCGACCACAAAGAAATTTGATTAGAATTTCCTCGTTTCATCGGTTATTTTTATTTTATATACCGTGCAGAAGAATGGTAAATGCGTCTCGTCAAACTATTTTCATGTTCATTTTATTTTTGCTCACCCGTTTGAAAATGTTTTTTTTTTTTAAAGCATTACTGCTAAAAAGTGTTAATAGTAAAAGCGCATCAAATTTTAATTAAAATGCATGCACATGAAGTGATACGAAAGTTTTTCAAGTGCTTATAGCTTTTTTCTGCGAAACAGGATTAAAAGAGGTTTTGGTGATATCTGGAAGTGCTTTTCGTTACCAAATTCCTCCTGTTCAAATAGATAGAGAAATACAAAACTTGTACAATTTAAAAATAAATGACTGATTTGCAGATGAGGACTGAAACAGGCACAATAAGTATTCATATACCATCACAATCATCAACAAACACAAGCTCCTCCACTTTCCGGCCATTCTTCCAACATTTGTATACCACAATATCTAAAATAAAAATGAACAGTTCCTTGGCTTAATGGCATTCATTTGAAAATCTCTTCGACATACGTGCCTAACGAAACTCTGAGAATAGTGGAATTCGTAAAAATGAGCAACTTTACCGGGAGAAAATGAGCATGCGAAAACGCAGCTAAGGCCTAATTCAGTTCTTATGTTGAAGCCTCCCACTTTCTGCACCAGCATAAGGATCAATAACTACATTTATAACAGCAGGTTTTCGTGCGGAGAATGATTCTGAAATGGCAGACTTGAGTTCTTCAGGTGTCCCAACAAGATATCCTTTGCCTCCAAATGCTTCAATCAGAGTGTGATAACCCGCATTTGGGATGAAGGAAGTAGGAGCAGGGTCATCTTTGTAAGGCCCACTAATTTCATCTGGGCTTCTTCGATCACCACCATATACACCACCATTGTTAAAGACTATCACGACAACAGGTAACTGGTATCGAACCAATGTCTGCAGGAATCAAGAAAAAATATACAGCAATGAACTATTGTTCCTTGTGCAGCCAGAAACACACACACACGCCAGAACACAGACACACACTAAGATAAAATTTAACAGTGAAGACAGATTGACCAAGAAGCATAGATGATATAATGGAAAGTTCAAAGGGAATCTTAATTACAGAAAAGAAACTGAAAAGGATAGTCATGAAAGAGCAATCAAACTTCATAACAAAACAGCTTCGAGCTCTCTAGCCTTAACAAGAGCTGCGTACAGTAATAAGGGCAAATTATGAATAGGACAACAGTTTAGCAATGTGTCCAGGTTAAGCTTCTGAACTACCTTTTCTTTCCTTCTTATTTTTTTTTAATTTTTTTATTTCCCAATTATACAGAAGACCACTGGAACCTCTTCAAAGTTTGGACCAAAATGAAGCTACCGACGACATCTCCCACCAGAAAGATGCCAAAACCTTACTCCAACTATGGGAAAAGATGACCTTACATGGAAAATCCTATGTAGTAAGAAACTTATCGTCGCATGAATTCTCAATACAGCACCGATGTAACTAAATGATGGAACCTTGTTCCCCTTCCACCAAAAGCTAACCTTGCTGAGGCTTTCATTAGCTAAAAGAGAGAGAGACAGAGAGACAGTAAGAGGGAAGTGCCCTCAGGAAGCCACTGACCATCATTTATCAGTCTTAGAACAATTAAGACAAATATAGCAAATGTCTATTATTTGTTTATATGTCTTGAGGACTGTGTGCTCAAAGGATAAGAAACAACGATAGATATCTACAAAGGAAATCGCAAATAGAAAGGATTTCAAAGGAAAGCCAACATTGGACATGATGTGGAGACCAAAACATTCGAATAAAGCTGTCTTTGTTAAAGATAAGTTTCTAATACAAAGTAAAGCCAACATCAGACATGATGTGGAGATCAAGGGGATCGCAAACTTTTGGAACAAAAAGTCCTTACTTAAGAAGATAGAGACTAAAAACCTCCAACTTCTAGAACCTTGAATGTGTAGACTGCACGACAGTCACCCTCAAGGCCCAACTGCTCCTACCTCTCCAAGTATAATCCAGCCCAGTTCTTAAACCCCGCCAGCACTTAACCTGCCCATTCCTTAAAGCTCTACCCTAACCTAAGCTGTCCATTTTTCAACCCCACCATCAAATAAGATGCTCACTCCCTACTTAAGCTAATCATATCTAACCATGTGACTGCAAAAAGTAAGATGACGGTTTAAGTTGTCCAACTACCTTTTCTTTCTCTAATATGTCCTTTAAAACAAAAGGTAGAAACCAAAAGGAAAAGGTTAGTACCATGTTTAATATTACTTGTGCTACTACTTTCATGAACCCAATAAACAATACCTAGGTTGATACTCCAGCACACATATCCACTTATTAAAGTATCTCGCTTCCAAATTCTTTTAATTCCTATACCTAACATGGACCACCAAATTTTCTTCCACATCTTTTGAACTAAATGGAAACCGCATCAAAGCCAACAACCAGAAATCAGAGCTCGGATGAACACAAATCAAGGCATTCCAACTCTTTAAACCATTAGTGAGATTTTGACCAACTCAAATCCAAATCAGATTCGCGGGGAGATAAAAAATATCTCGGCAACAATCAGTGTCTGCTATATCATGAAACTAATTATGTAAACAAACAGGGTCTCCTTCCTAAAGGAATCAGTCACAGCTATCAAGCATATCACTAGCAGATAATTTGCCACAATTAATAACCATTAGCACATATTTTGCAATAACAAGCATGAAAGCGATCATACCTCAACTTCCATTGCACTGAACCCAAAACCTGAATCCCCTTCCACTGCAACAACAAGCCGGTCAGGAGAAGCCACCGCAGCCGCAATGCAGTAACCCAAACCAACCCCCATTGTTCCCCAAGTCCCTGCATCCAACCTGGTCCTTGGCTCGGTCTGAACCAACACAGACCGACCCACATCCATGGTGTTAGCCCCCTCAGAAACCAGTATAGGAGCAGGGCTCCCCAACCCTGCAATTGCATCTCTAATAATCTTCATTGGCGTCAAGAAATTAAATGGCACAACTTCCTTAGCCAACTGAGCCTCCATTTTTGAAACATTGTCCTTCACCTTACTTGAAATCGCTGCAACCCACGAATGAGACCTCCCCAAACAAAAAGGATCATCCTTGATCCCCAAATTGATCTTTTCCAACACCAACTTTGCATCTCCAACCAAACCCAAATGCGGTTTTCGCAGCTCAATCTCTTCCTTACTAACATCAACCAAAATGAACTTCACATCCTTAGACCATTTGGGAGGCTCACCAAAGTGCAAAAGCCAGTTAAGCCTGGCGCCGACAACGAGCGCCACATCACATTTGCCGATCGCCAGAGACCTCGCTGCCGTCGCCGCCAGCTCATGAGTATCAGGCAACAGTCCCTTCCCCATTGGAGTGGGCAAAAATGGGATTCCGGTCCTCTCCACTAGTTTCCCCAACTCATTCTCCGCTCGAGCAAATGCAGCTCCCTTCCCAAACACAATCAACGGCCGCTCCGCGTGCCGTAGCAGCGAAACCGCTTCATCAATCTGCGAATTCTGTACTTTCAGAACCTTCTCCGACTCCGACTCTCCGAATTTATCGGCAGCGGTGGCCAATAAGCTCTCAGCCTCCGCCTCAGAAATTGTCTGGTGCAGAACATCCGACGGAAAATCCAAATAGCACCCTCCGGGTCGACCCGAACCGGCTTCAGCGAGAGCCTGAAACACGCAATCCGGGATTTCTTTGATTGATTTAGCTTTGGCGGAGAATTTGGAAAAGGGTTCGACGGCTGCGATCTGATCGAGCTCCTGGAAATCGCCGCGGCCGAAATCTTTCTGGTCGCACGAACCAGAGATCATCACCATGGGCCAAGCATTGGTCATGGCGTTGGAAAGACCGGCGAGCCCGTGGACGCATCCGGGACCCGAGACCGTGAGGAGGACCCCGGGTCGACCAGTTAGATACCCGTAGGCGGAGGCGGCGTAACCCGCGGACTGCTCATTGTGGAAGGCAATAAACCGGACTCCGAGCGAGACCGCACGGTTCGCGAGCGAGGTAACAGGAATTCCCACGACGCCGAACATGTGGTCGACGCCGAATCGGGCAAGGGCCTTGGCGATCAGCTGGTTGCCATCGAGTGCGGTTGTGGTTGATTCACCCATTGGAGCTGATTGCTGTGCTTCTTCTGGTTTGGGGGGAAATAAGTGAGTGGAGTGGGTACATATAGGCACAGAAGTTGGAGGACGATTATGCCCTGAGAGATTGTTGGGAAATGTGTTATATGGGGGAGGTGGTGGAGAATGAGGAGATGGGTAGATTGAGAAATCAAATTTGATAAGGAATGATGAGTCGCTGAGTCAGCCGCCGTTGCTTTTCTTGTTTGGTGGGCCGTCTGTCAATGCCCCAGTGGAACACTACACAATATATTTTTTTTAACAATTGATATTATCTACATTAAAGGATAATGATATGAGCTTGACCTCATAGTATGCTAGTAATAATATGGTTCAAATTCATTTTTGACAAAAATCGAACCTAAGACCTTGTGAGGAAGAATACCACTATACCGTAGTACTAAATAGCAGAAGATAAACAATTTATTAAATAGCTTATTTACTAGTAATATTTTTGCTCATTTTTAGTTACGACCTTTAGAATACAATTTTGATAAAAGTGCAGCCATTACAAAAAGTAAAACAATGAAACAAGTCTCAAAAGTGAGCCCGTAACAATGCCTAAGCCGAAAACTCTAGAATTGGAAATGAGAACTAGCCTACTCCGCCAAAATAAACGCACTATCATTGTCAAGTAGCCGTTACCAAGAAGAAGAACCAACGAACCCAAAAAATGAAGGAAAAAAAAATGGAGGTGGGTGAGCAACCTTCGCTAAAAGCGCTCCTATAATACTGTCAAGTAGTGCGAATTGCACTTTAGCAACCACCAAAACTCGAAGCACGCCTCCAACTAAAGTCCATGGAGGAAGAACTCGAGAAGCCAAAGCCGAACTTGATGGGCAGCAGCTCATGGCAGTTAGAAAAAAAGCCATGAAACTCAAATATGCGATAAGAATTGCCAACAATTGAGATAAAGCTTAAAGAAATTGAGACAAATCTCAAGGAAACGAGACAAGCTCATAGCAAAATTACTAGAAATCAAGGGCCAAATGAAAAGAAAAGGAAGAAGATGGGGTTTAGGGAAGAAGGAGAAAGGAATTAGTAAAGAAGGAGATGGGGTTGCCACTGACCCCAAGCAAGAAGAAAGGTTGGTGGCTAAATGGAGAGTTGGGTTTTGCGGTTCCTGTCATAAGTGATTTTGAACAAATGATATTATTCACGTTAAGGAAGTGAGGGAGTAGGCTAAGCCTTTTATTAGTAATAATGTGGTTCATATTTGCATTTGACGAGAATCAAACCTAAAACCTCTCATTTACAAGTAAAGATGAATATTATTATAGGTGATTAAAAGTGGGAAGTGACTTCCTATGCTACATCATGAAGCTGACGTCGTAAAAGTGTAATTAACCAAAGGGAAAGGGATCATTTCTGGATCCCTTTCACTAAATCCACTAAAGTCAAGAAATTCAAACTCTTAAAATTTGGTCTAACGGTTAAAGTTGCTATAATTTTTAAGGTAAATCTTAGTTTACTACCCTCATATTTCGTGGTTTTCAACATTTGATACATGAAGTTTTTTTCGTTCCAAAGTTATACCTAAAATGTTAATTTTGAGACAATCTCATATATATGTTAGTCTAGCTGTTAAGTCTCCTGTTAACTGATGATGTGGCGCCCATGTAGACAATGACTGGACGCCACGTGGAAATTAAGGGTTTCACATGGAAATTAAAAATTCAAAAAAATAATTATTTAAAGGAAAAAAAAACCCAAATCCCCTTCATCTTCCCCAGAATCCCCACATGTGCCCACCCTCCCACCCCCTTCACCCACCCATTCCCCATCCCTCATCACCCGCAACCACTTCCCCCTTCACTTAACAAAACAAGGGGTTGATGGAGATGAGAATCCAGCCGTTGTCAGTTAAATTCGACGAAACGGTCTCCATCGAATCAAAGCTTAATGGGTTTAATGGGTTCAGGGGAGTCCTATACGAAATGAGGAACGTGAACTCACTGCTACTAATGATCCTACTGTACGAGCTGGTGTTCTGCTGGCCGGAGGAGCAGTCGTTCATGGTATCAACAACGAGGCTGCAACAAAAGGTTGCGGCGGAGATCATGTAGATTAGGAAGATGCCAGGGGTTCTGATGTCGGAGTTCAGGAGGTCGAAGGCGGCGATGGAAGAGCTGAGGGGATTTGGAGATGAGGGGACCATAGGGGGTGGTGGAGTGGGAGGAGGAGGGCGACGGCGGGGTTTTTGGGATGGGAGAAAGGGGTGGGCTCAGGTGGGATGGAGGTGCAGTGGGGAGGGAAGCGGTTGCGAGTGATAGGGGATAAGGGAAGGGATGAGTGATGGGGGGTAGGGGTGGGAGGGTGGGCACGAGTAGGGTGGGGAAGACGAAGGGGATTTGGTTTTTTTTTTTTTTTTTTTTTTTAATTTTTTTTTTTTACTTTTCTTTAAATAATTATTCTTTAAAATTTTTAATTTTCACGTGGACCCTTAATGACATGTGGCGCCTAGTCATTGTCTACATAGGCGTCACGTCATCAGTTAATGGGAAACTTAACAACCAGACTGACGGATGTATGAGACTGTCCCAAAATTAACACTTTAGGTATGACTCTAGGATAAAATAAACTTCATGTACCAAATGTTGAAACCACGAAATTTGAAGATAGTAAACTGAGATTTACCCTAATTTTTAAAGAGAACCTTGCTTTTAGCTCTTGGATCAAATTTGAAGGGCTCAGATCCCTTGTGGATTTGCGGAAGGGTTCCGGAGCCCTTTCCTAACTAAAGCAGTTCCTTCTTTCTCATACCGCTAAACCATCCCTCCCTTCCCTTTCTCCCCGCCCAGCCGCCGCCCTCACTCATTCAGTCATTCTCTCACTCTCTCTCTCTCTCTCAGTTAGCAAAATGATAAAGCGGCGATTCTACAAGCTAGAACATGGCGACAGAGATGGCCCCTCCAATTCATCTTCATCCTCGTCGGATTCTGAAATGGAACCACAAGCCACAGACGACTCGGATGAAGAAGAAGAAGAAGAATATGATGCAGTCCAAGAACTCAAGGACGATGCTCAGTCCTGCTCTACCTCTTCTGGTTTTCTCTTCCTTCCCTGCCCTTTAATTATCATTTATTTTTTACATTTATATGATTTTTTTTGTTAAATTATTTTCTGAATTGATTAAAAGAAAAGATGGGTATTGATTAATATTGGCTGAAATTCAATTTTTCTTCTGGTTTTTTGGTTTCCAGGATATCAAAGTGAGGATAGCTCAGCGACTGAAGTTCCTGTTGATTCGTCAGGTAAGGCTTGTTTGGAAGAATATAAGCATTTTTTGTTGTCAGTGAAGTTTTAGTTGTTTAATGGATATAGAGTTTTCTATTTTCATTTTTGCATTGATGTTATGGATTGTTCTATCGAGATACATTGTCTATTGAAACAACAAGTTTTTGCTACATCAGTTCGGATTGTTAGTTTTTGCCTTCCTCCTTCCATAGCACTACTCCCTCCCGAAAAATTGAATGAAAGAGAAAGAAATAGTCGGAAAATGAGGAGAAAATACGGGCTTATCAGTTTTACTTGATGTATTATCGTGCATAAAAGTCGCAACTCTCATCCTTAGGAGTGCTGTAAAGTTGATATGAAAATTAGGATTCAACTTCCAATCACAAAACACGCAGCATCTTGTTATGCCGTTTTGCATAAAAAATAGATGTTACTACAAGATAGATGCTTACGTGGACTCAAGTATAGATCATGAAAGTTCGAATTTCGTAGAATAGTGCAGGTAACTACAACTTAATGATAGTTACGGGTTGAAATTCTTCACTCACAACTGTTGCCTTCACTCAGGGTGCTATAAAACTTCTCACAAAAGGTTTTTGCATCATATGGTCATATAATGTTGCACATAAGTAGAACTTCAGGACAGTGTTCGGGTGACCTTCTTAACTCACACAAATATTTCCTTCAGGAAGCTATCCATAAAAGGTTACACCTTTCTATTTCTGAATGGTTTTAGGATGAAATATAAGATTGTAATTCTAATTACAACCAAGTGTCCAAAGAAGCATTAGTACCTCTTATCATTTTGGAATTATGGAACCGTGCAAGATATTGTTATCCTAGAAAGTTAAACAAGGGGAAATTTGTATCATAACTATCACAACTTGATTGATTTGCTTGCTTGAGTGCATTCTATATCTTAATGTTTGACCAGAATGATTACGCTTATGTTTTGACAAGATACATGACATCATTTTTCATGTCAGGTCTACCAATAACTGAAGATGATGATGCTTCAACCGGACATGAAAGACCGGCTCTTATGGTCGATCAGTTGCTTATTAAAAGTGGTTCAAAATTACCAGAGGAAGAATCTAAAATCATGCCAGACGAGGAGTCAATACCAGTAGATTTACCAGACTGTATCGTGAAATGCAAATCAGCTTTTAAATGCAGGTTATGCCCTAGAATTGTCTGTTTGAATGAGGAGAGTTTAAGGGCTCATCTGAAATCCAAGGTAAGATGTGTGGCTTACGTATCTTTCTATAGAGTTAAATCATCAGTTGGTATTTGCTACCTCAATTGTTTGTCATTGTATATGACTTGCTACTATTTCTTACCTTGATTGGATTGCATTGGTTATCTGTTTCATTTTGTGGTTAAGAAAATATGATGCTATCTGCTTTCTTCCTTTTGACTGTCTCGGATATGAGATCGTTTCCAATATGCAGAACTGGTAATGCAAAATGAAGAAGCGCCAGACTGATTGATACAGATTGATACAGCTTTGTTGTGTTTGCTAGCCTGCATTTAATTGAAGAATCGCCAGCAATTTTATGTTGTTTTATCAAGACAATTACCAGTGACTAATTATATTGTTGTTATTATTGCAGAGACATGCTCGGTCTGAGAAACTATTGGACGAAGGTAGGCTGAAGACCATACTGAACGCTGATGGGAAAATTGATGAAGAAGAGACCCCTGCTTTATATGCTAAAATTCTAGCTAATTCACAGGTAAGTCTCCCATTGATAAAATAAACCAGAAAATATGTCGAGTGGGCATGCAGGAAGCTAACCTTCTCCGCTAAATTATTCCAGGGTATGCCGAGAAAGAAAAGTAAAAGACAAGACAAGAATGGGTCGAAAAAGAAGGTAAAAAAAACATCACCACAATGTTGGGATATATTTAGGCTTTAAAGTGTGAAGTCTCTTATAACGGATGGTGTAATATGCAGAGGACGAGATATGGTGGGAAGCAATCCAAAGGGAACCCGTCCAAGAGAAGGCGTGGATAAAGTGCTAAGAATGTTGTTTTGGGTTGCCGTCTTGTGAGAGAACACAACAGCGAGAAAGGAAAACAAGGATTTTGCCATTTTGTACCGAATTAAGGAAGCTATCCTAAGATTTTCGTCGCTTTCGAGTGATGTGGCTAAACTGACTGCTTGATAATACTTTGCTCTGTTCTTTAGCTTCAGCCACTTCTAAGCTTGTTATCAGGAGAATGAGAATGATCAGATCTTGCATTCGTAAGATTTACTCGACAAATTATACGAGTTATGCTACGGACAATCGTCCATGCTTTCTAACCATTTAGCAGAGACTCAGCATCCAACTTTAAGGGTCGAAAATTGCCCCTTAAAACCCTGAGACTAGGAAGTGATAGAAGAACTGTAATAAAAGCCACAACAAAAACCATACACAACTTTTAAACAAACGTCTGGTTGAACGGTTCAGCCCATCCACAAGCTAAAATGTAAGCATGGCTCTTCAATGACTTAATCAGTTAAGGTGCCGATGCAATAACCCGCAATAACTCAAAACATGCTACCCCTAAAATTCTTGATACAGGCTCCCGGGGCCAATAACACAAGTGAAAGACCAAACCATTGCATTTTCCATTTACGACGATCCTTGATTAAGCAAACTTAAAACAATGAAAAAACTCCACAAGTGAGATTAGTACAAAAAGTGAAGATCATACACAAGGTTCAGTGAGATTTCAGGCTAATAGTGAACATCTGTCTCCTATTACTACAAATTTGATAATCCCAGTCAGCACAAAATATGATCTGAATGAAACAGACTTCCAACAACCAAAAGTCAGCACAGCTTCATGAACCAATGTTGCCGTATTTACAGGGTAGAAGTTCTAAACTTCAAACCCCTTCCCAGGTAGGGCCAAAGCATTCGGTATCCTTCTAAAATTTTGGCAATCGCCCAGTGAAACAATATGCATAAAGTTTTCCCAGAAAGAGGATAACGAAAGTCAAAAAGGAACTGGAAGCCTGTGATTCAATACCTAAGGTTTCTGCTCCTCTGAAGGATTTACAGGCAAAACAAGCTGTTCTGTGCTTCCATCTGCTTCATTAGGCTGATCAAGTGGAGGGGGTTGTTCTCCACTCTCAGTATTCTCTGGCTGGAAATTGATGGGGAACTTTGTGACCCTCGGTTTGTCAGACAAAATGTTTCTTTGAACCCTATCAATCAAGACCTTTGGAGGAGGTTCTTCTCGCAGCTGCTCATCATCATAATCATTGTTAACGTAGTAGCCCACTCGGATAAATTCCTGACCAATATAAGAGCAGGTCAACAGAAGCACAGTCACACCAATGATGTCTTCATCACGAATCTTGGATGGGTCAGGAGGATCTGCCTGCAAAATTATCAACAAAATTAATGAAGGTGATTCAAATTCAAATGCACCTCGTGGATCAGATGTGAAAAGGATACAGTAGAAGGATCTAGTGGAAGCTTACCTGTAGTACAAAACGATAGTTTCCGACATTGACAGGCCCAACAAGTACACTCTCCAGGAGTTGGTCATAAGTCTCATCCTCAGCAGATCCCACGTAGATGAGCTTCCATTCCAAATCTGTGTTGCCATGAAAATTACTCAACAATTAAACAAGGCATCACTTTTAGAGTTCACCCAGAACTAGAAAAGCATGTGCAACTTGGTGCTACTTGTGCAAACCTCAGAAGGCATCACTTTTAGAGTTCACCCCGAACTAGAAAAGCATGTGCAACTTGGTGCTACTTGTGCAAACCTCAGAAATTCAGCTCCCCATTCTATTCAATTTTCATGCAAACAATCATTACCTAACTAGTAGGGATGACTCATGAAGCTGGAAACCAGATGACCCTAAAAGTCCTCTTATTACGCTCTTAAGTTATTTAATGAGATAGGGTATGGAACTAGAAGATTAAACATTTTAAAAAGAATCTACACATAACTATTTACTAGTCTGTTGTCCTCAATGAGTCCATATCCCTACCCGGACCAAGTCCATGCTTCAAGTTGGTGCAACTTGGTGGTTAAATAATTTCCTGTTGAACAAACCTACAAAATTAGAAATATTTTAGAGTTACAGCTCTAAAATTTTCCTAATTTACATACTGCTACCTTTTCACTCTTTCAGAGATACCTTTCTGGTTTTCTTTAGGGTTCTATATAGACCTGTGCAATACCTATACAATGACCAATCACCAGTTGTAGCACCTCAGACAAGTACTATAATTACAGTCATGTGACTGAAACGTTAAACAATATTCCAGACCTGAAGCACCTTAACAATGCATCTGTTGTTTGCTAAATTTTATTTCTATTCCAAAATTCATTCATCTCCTTTAGCTGTATTAAATTGTAAACAGTCTAAATAGATCCAGTTGCACATACAACACAAAGAACACGAGGGATGGGAAAAGGTTTCGAGAGGGGTCAGGGGTAAGGGCACAACAAAACATTGAAACTGAAATGACCAGAATAACCATACAGATGTATACAATGCACCCTTGAAATGCAGAAATTGCTTGTTATTAGCTAAGCTGATAAATCCAACATGGTCATGGATAGAAAATATACCACCAATCTTTTTTCTTTTAAATTCATAAAGGAAACACAAAACGGTGTATTTAGAACATATGCTCACTTGAAATGCAGATACGCGACATATTAGCGAGGCTGGTAATCGTGAATGCATACAAAACACAGTTGACTTCTTTGAGCATCACACCGTGTCCACCGCTACAGAATCTTCTAGCATACTACAATGTTCATTTTGAAAAACGAAAAGAAGAAGAAACACTCAACAACCAAGAAATCGTCCATGAGTTTCAGTTCCGACTCAAAACCCTAGCAATAAACTCAATCAATTAGGTGTATGTCCCCAGTGTATCATATCAATAAAACATAATTATCCAAGCTATAGTATATGAGCTCCTGAACACCCATTTCCTTGCAAGCCAAGGAAACTCGATTTTCGGAGGATATCCTCTACCCATTCAACATTACATCTAACACTTCCATTTCCAATTGTACTACCAATTTCTCAATCAACACGAAAAAACCCTAATTGAAACTCAATCACACAATTAAAAACAAAAATACAAAAACAAAAAAGCAAGAGAGAGGGGAAACGGTACCGTCTTTGAGAGGAGTGTTGCACTCGTAAGAAATTTCAAACTGGAAGGGTGCGAGAAACAGAGCCGGATTGTCAAGCACCGTCACGTTCGTGATGTTAATGGCGCTCATTGCAACGAAGCCCAGAGGAAGAAGACGACGACTGTAACAACTACTCTACTCGCATAGGGTTCCTTGTACGGACGGATTGAAACCCTAGGTTCCAGAACCTTCATCGAAATCCCAACCGGAATCGCGAACTGCTTTCGGAACACTACGGTACGGTAATGAAAAGACAATTTGGTCTTATGTGACTGCATAAAAGTAGGGACAGTAATGTAATTCGCATAAATTAAATATTTTTTTTTTAGTGAAGTGCTGATTTAATTCTTGGACTATCATCTCAGTGAAAATTAAGTATCTGAATTTTTTTTTTCAGTAAAATAAGTTCCTAAATTCATTAGAAATTGCTAATTTCATGCCTACTATTATATTTAAAACTATTTTATCCAATTTTTCGCCAACTTAAGTCACTTGACACACTTTAAAGTGTAATACCATCATTTTCTCATCTATAAGCCCTTAAAATTTCATATAGGTTGCAAATTTAGTGTCTAATTTACCCTTAAAAGTTAATTTACACTATTTCTTTATGAAAAACTACTAATTCTCATTCAAAGTTGACTTCATACACTATTTCATTATGAAAAACTATCAATCTACCCTTTAATGTGTATCACATGCAAGTAACGTGACTTAAATTGATGGAAACTGAACATAGTAGCTTCGAATATAACATTAGGGATGTAATTGGCAGATTTTTATAATTCAGGGACTAATTTTTCTGAAAAAAAATAGTTTAGAGACCTAATTTTCACTAAGGTGATAATTCAGGGACTAAATTGGCAATTTTACTAAAATTGAAATTGAACTGAAACTTTGGTTTGGTTTAATTTTCTTTCCGTTTTTTTCGGTTTGGTTTCGGTATATTTTTTATTTATTTTTTATAAAACTTGATCCTTTTTTTAATATGGAATTTAGAAAAAAGGCTTGCATTGGTATACTAATAATAAGAAAATGGGGACAGTGGAAAAGTGGAAAGGTAGTTATACATATACAAGATCATATAAATCAATCTATTCTATTAACAACCTCATTTGCAAAGAAAATGATCATTGTATCCATTTAACAAGCAAACAAATAGAAAAACTCTTCCAAGTTTCAAAGCCTTCCAAAACTTTTCTCTATAACCAATGAAATATTCTCCCTAATTGAACCAAGTATGCTCCTTGAAAAAACCATAGGCTTAGTTTTAAACTTGGCAACAAAGTTTCACAAAGAAACATCATGGACAAACATTCATAAAGTGTAAAGGGATTCGGTTCGATTTGGTTTCCAAACCTCCAAAATCGAAACTGAACCAAATAAGGTTCGGTTCGGTTTGGTTTTTTCCTTTTTGGTTCAATTTTTCGATTTTCGGTGTTCGGTCCCTTTTTTTTTCAGTTTTTGATTTTTTGAACCCACCCCTATCCATATCTTCATAACATATCTCTAATTTTTTAAAATAAAATATAAAAACATAAATCTCTCTCTGGTGCCTCTCTCTTTCACATTTCTCTCCAATTTTTCTCTCTCCCATATATTTAAAAAAAAAAAATTGTTTCAGCTTACGCTAGTATAATTTATACGACTTATTATTGACTGTACACAAACCTAATTCTACACAAGTGTATTTTTCTTTCTAAATGTAAAATGTTGGGAGTTAATAATTAAATTTTTAGAGTGCCAATGACAATTCTCATATTTATTTTTAGGGCTTTATTGGAGATGTTATTGATTTTTCGGTTCGATTTGGGAGTTTTGAATTTTGTGGGATTTGATTTTTTGTCATTTTAAGGAGCAAAATAGAAATGAGATAGTTATCCGATGGATATGGGCGATAGGCACTGTCAAAATGGTGGGAGTTTTTTTTGTGAAGGCTATAGAAATGACTATTTAGCAGTACGGGTAACTTGGAGCGAGAGGGGGCAGAGCCTAAAAGGAAGGAAAAAAACGGACTGACACCAAAATATAAGAAGTGATAATTGCCGCAATGACAACACATGCTATACACGTTTCTTGAGGTGCCATGAATTTCTATATTTCA